AGAAAGCCAACGTTTTGACCGACCAGCTTAAGACGATCGAAGCGCATCGGGCCCCAGGGCGGCGAAATAGATCCCGGACTTCGTCAGGAAAGCGTTTGTGCCAATACCGAATTCGATCGTACAAGAGGTCCTGGAAACTCCTGGAGGGAAACTGGCTTCGGACGATTTGGCTCCTGGTTTTCTGCAGCCCAGCTTCAAACATACTAGGAGCTTGCGGAATCCTGGAAAACTCCAGACAGTTCTGGTGCATCGTGGCAACGAACGGCGATAAACAGGGTGCGCAAAAGCGTCACTATGGGCTTCTCCATAGAGGAACACTGAGCCTGAAACAGACGCCACAAAATCAGGAAGGGGACGAGAGGCAGAAGAAAAGAGTGGATGGCTCTCGCCACGCGGTGCTTGGCGAGCGGCCTCTCAGAGAGCAGCGGCCTCAGAGGAGCTCTGAACGGCCTCGATCATCCAATCGGCGATGGCGTGCTGGCCCTGCGGCACTTCGCAGATCTTGAACAGCTCCCAGTGGTCGCTCGCCTTCGTGATGCTGGACGCTCCTTTGAACGGGGTGGTGCCGAGCTTGATATCAGGGTTCCAGATCTTTTCGTGCTCGAGGCGCTTGCGCATTTAAGGCCACATAGCGCTTAGCACGCGATTTTCTGGCGGGCTGCGAGCGGCATGCCACGCCGACAACGGAGAGCATGGGCAGACTTGTTGCGGTAGCCGGACAAATTGACAAGATTGGTGACGAACCCGTCGTGGAATTTCCTGGTGTGGGCCTCGCAAGAAACTGATAATGCTTGTGATACTTTGTGAAAATGGCCAATGATGGCCGCGCCTAAGTGAGTCGGAATCCTCTCCATCAGCTGGTCGAAGACGTTACGGCGATGTGGTTCAGTTACGGGGCGGGGAAAGCCACGGATCCAGCGGCGCGTCTCGTCCACATTACCACGGGAAAGATCAATGACAGGAACCCCGAACGAACCAGCATATGAGCCAGTCGTCGTCCTCCTCGACTTGGCTGGCGGCGCGCCTGTAGAACTGGCAATCGAAGGCGGGCGGGAGACCTCGCGGAGGGATTTCTCTGGGCCGATGGTATTCTCCTGCATCCGCTTCGCAAGCACCGACGGCTGAGCGCCCAGAGTGGACGCGTGCTCGCCGTCGGCAATGAACAACTCTGTTTCGAATTTGTCCTGCCTTAGCTTCGATAGCCGGAGACCGAAGGCAACAGACACCTCCTTCTGGGCGGCGTCAACCTCCGCGAAGCTTGCCTGCATGGACAACTCCAGGTCGGTGATCTTGACATCTAGCTCCTCAGCGGCGACGAGGCGCTTCTTGACGTCCGCGACGTCGGCTCTCATGCCCTTCATCTCGTTCGTCAGAGACTCGAGGACAGCCACCAGCTGCTCGCCCGATGGATGTGCGCCAGCCGGCATGAGCGAGGGAACTGGGAGAGGGAGTGCAGGAGCTACAAAACCGCGTGCTTGGGCGCACTACTGGAATGCGAGGCCTAACCTCGATCTGGACGCTTGGGCCACCGCTCGGCAGCATCCAAGTTCGAAGCGTCAAAGACACACGTTTCGAACTTGAGCCAAAACGGCTACGGAGGAGGAGGAAGAGGAGGATGAGGAGAAGGGCGGGAGGAGAAGGAGAAAGAAGAGAAGGAGTATGCGGATGAGGGTGAGGAGGAGGAAGAGGAGGAGGAGGAGGAGGAGGAGGAGGAGGAGGAAGAGGACGAGGAAGAGGAAGCGGAAGAGGAAGAGGAGGAGGGGGAGGAAAAGGAGGAGGATACTGATGATGATGCTGATGCTGATGATGATGACGAGGACGAGGACGAGGACGAGGATGAGGATGAGGATGAGGATGAGATGATGATGATGAGGATGAGGATGAGGATGAGGATGAGGATGAGGATGATGATGATGATGATGATGATGATGATGATGATGATGATGATGATGATGATGATGATGATGATGATGATGATGATGCAGACATGCGAAAGAAAGAGGCAGCGATGAGAAGGGGGAAGGAGAGGGAGGAGGGCGGGAGGTGAGGCCAGAGGTGACGCGGGGCGCTGAAAGGGGGGAGGAGGAGGAGGAGGAGGAGGAGGAGGAGGAGGAGGAGGAGGAGGAGGAGGAGGAGGAGGAACGCGGGGCGCTGTCTCCTCAAAACGAGGGCCCAACACCACATGACGGCTGGGAAGAACTGTAGCAGGTTCACTGGTCCAGAATTCTCCTGGCTTTTGCCCTGCACCCCACGCTCCTTCGGAGCCTGCCAGGGTGCGCTGGGGGTGAGGGGCCCAGGGCGCTCCAGCTCTCGGGCAGCTCCGGTGGTGCCCACGGGAGGGAGCCTGGCCCCCGAGGCAAAAAGACTGCATGTGCGAGCTGAGTTGCACATGGCGACCACCTCTGACGCTGCTGTGCTGTGTCTGCGCGGTCCCCTGCTCCACGCCCCCGCGCGAGGGCCCCGACGGAGCCCGCTGCGCCGGCTCCGGCATCCCTGCGGCAGGCCCAGCCCCTGCAGCGCAGTCGCGCCCGCAGGGACACCGGCGACGACGATTAGTTACGCGGCAGGCCGCGCGCCGCCAAGTCCCGAGGACATCGGGGATCTACTGACGCGGGTCAATCCAGACCCGGGCCAGCCAGGCTCTGCAGGATCCTGCGATCCTGCAGGATCATGCGCCCACGCCCGGGTCAGTGCGCCCCTGGATCTGCAAGACCCCGCAAGATCCGGCGCTGGCGGCTGCGGCTTGCGCACGACCTCCACGGAGCTGGCGCCCCCGCTCTCTGGCCCAGCCGCCGCTGGCCGCAAGAGGGCGCCAGGGCCCTGGTGCCCCGCCCCCGCCGTGCTGCGCGGCCCGCGGCCTGCGCGTGCTGTGGGTTCGTCCCTCCCCGAGACCTGTGGGCCCCCGTGGTTGGTGCTTGCGCGCGCCGGGCGCGTCGGTTCGGGAACGCTGCGTTCTTCCTTGCGTACGCGTTGGCGTGAGTGGGGGCACCGTGCGGCGCGGCGCCGAAGAAGAAGACACATAATACGAATAACACTAGCAACTAAAGCAATAAATCATGATATACATAATGAACACACGTAGGTTGATAGTTCCAACACTAATAAACATGATAATCAAAAATAATCGAATGCGATCAAACCTAAACAGATGAAAAAGAGAAATGCCACTGATGGAATACGAATCGTCATAATAATAATGAACTGATAAGCACAATATTAATGATGATGACGACGACTATGATGATGGTAACACGCTTGAGAATTGTCATTGCACTAATAGTAATCATCATGATAAAAAATAATGATGGCGGGTCATACCACAATAACATGGATGATAATAGCAATAAGAACAGCCATCAGGCGAAACATCATAACAAGGAAACACATGCGAATACTTATAAACAGAAGAAGCGAGAAAAGATGTGACTAACGTAATTTGGGGGCGAGGAGTAGGCGGAGAGGCGACGGAAGAGGGAGGCAAAGGGGAGTTGAAGCATGAGGACCAAGTGCTCTCTCCAGAAAACATGCCCAACCACAGCAAGGGCTGGGAACAAACAGTGTGTGCGCTCACAGGTTCATTTGCATTGATAAGGGCTGCCCTGACGCGGTGAAAATTGCCGTGGTGGCGCCCTGGTAATTCACCCGCCTGGCCTGGGAGGTCTGTATGTTGCTAGCCCCTGTTCTCTCGGCGGCCTCCGTCGCTCCTGCTAACTTGCCCCGCCGCGTGTGCGCCAGGGGCCCGAATGGGCCCCTCCTGCCTTCGCATGCTGCTGGGTTGCCCCACTCTGCCACTGGCATTGCCACCGCCTGCTGCCAGCCCATTCCGCTCATTGCCGCTCTCTTCTACACGCTTCCACGTGAAGGCCCCTCCTTGCACTGCTGCCGCGCGCGTGATTTGAAGCACTGCCAGGACGTCCACGCGCGGGCGACATGCAAAATTATTCGAGGCGGGGGTCCCAATATGTGCACATCTTTTCTAGCAAGTTCACTTTCTATGAATGCCTGGAATGGGTCAGTGAGATTGAATGCGGCTGACTGCATACAACTGGGTCGGAATACAAGTCTGGATCTGGCGATGACCGAGTCTCACCTGGCGGCCACCGTTTTTTTCCGGATGCCCAAGTTCTGTGCCTGCCTCACCGCAGTGACCACGTGGCTCTCGAGCTCGGGCAGCGGGGGGCGCCACAGCCGACGTTTCGCCCTCAGAGATCCTGGCAGTCTGGGCGCGAACTGGCCTGTGCGATGCCGCCGTGCCTCGCCGTGGCGGCTCCCCCCGGGGGAGGTCCAAAGCGCCGTGCCTGCCACATCGCGGCGTGGGGCTCCGCATCCCGCCAAGCGCCATGCTGCCGGAGAGAGTCCACCGATCTGGCTGCGAATGGGCCCGTGCAAGAAATACCCCCTGGCGGTTCCCCCGTGGGAGGCTCAGATGCGATGCCTGCCACATCGTTGTGATCGTGCGTGAGTCCGGGAATGGGTGGCGCGTCTGAGTGAGAGAGAATCTGAGTCACCAGTGAGACTGCGTGTGTGAGCGAACATGAGTGTGGTGGGCATCAGTGAGTCTGACGCAGGTCAGTCTGAGTGTAACCGAGTCCGAATGCGAATTAGTCCGCATGTGAATCTGAGTACGGGTATATGTGAGTGTGAGAGAGTGGGTCTCAATATGAGTGAGCCTGCATCTGAATAAACTGATATATGCGTGAGTATCCGGATATGTATGAGTCTAACCATGAGTGTGCATGGGCAAAGAGGCGAAAGAGTGAAGGGGGCCGGGGCGTGAAAATAATGAGATCCCATACGTACTCAGGACATGGGAAAACCAAGAGACGCGACCTGAAATTTCCACCCCAGTATGAAGATTGCCACGACTACGGAGCAACCCTCGAGAGCGAGCTGCACATTGCGAATCTAGCGCACAACAACACACTTACGAATTGTAACTTATTCGCTTGCTGAGCGCATTCCTCATCTCTTTGTCTCCGAAAAGCATGTTTACAACCGGCCTCGATCGCGTCCTCTGGCCGCATTTTGCTGTGCCTCACACAGTTTTGCCCCTGTCAGCTGCTATAGCGCCGCACCTGCGCCGCGAATCCCGGTGCTGCGCCCAACGAGCCGAAATGAAGCAGGGAAGGGGCGACTCTGGCCATCACGCAACTTGCTCACGAACGCGCGCGCTACAACGACCGCCAAGCTTGCGAACACGAATGCTGAGCCTCGCACTGTACTTTGCACGTGCGCAGAGTACACTTTCCAAAACCCTACACTCAGGGCCCCACGCTGGCGCCAGGCAGCTGCGACAAAAAGCTGCCTGCCCACGGCAGATCGGAGCCCTGCGGTCGACACAGGCATTGGCGGCCTGTCACGCCCTCTTCTTGCCCCCCGCAATGAGGGCATATGCGAGGAACTATCCCTCCGCCCGCAGGCGTTCCGCCAGCTTGTGGAACGGCGATGTCCCCAGAGACGCAAGGAGCGGGAGTGCGGGATCAAGTACCAATTGTATGTGTGCTAGCGTGCACCCCAAGCAGTCAGCTATTGCACTGTGGAAAGGTGTGAGCTGTGGGTGTGGTGGTGCAGGCTACGTGGTGCAAGCAATGTGGTGCAAGCTACGCGGTACAAGTTAAGTGCTGTTGGCCATACGATGCAGACGTTTGCGGTGCAGTCTCTGTGTGGTGTGAGCTGCGTGGTGCAGGCCACCCTGGTGCAGGCCGCGTGACGTGGGCTGTGCGGTGCAGGCTGTGCAGCGTGTGAGCAGCGTGGCAGCGCACGACGCGCCCACGGGGCGCCCACGGGCGGGCACCGAGCGACACCTCGGCACACCCACCCAGCGCACGAGGCGCCCACGAGGCGCCCGCGAGGCGCCCGCGGGCCGGCACCGGGCGAGACCTCGGCCTCTCCGCCCAGCGCGAGGCTCCCGCGAGGCGGACGCGCGCGCCCACCCACTGGGCAGCGGCCGAACACCCAGCACACGCAAGCAGCTGCCTCGAGAAAGCGAAGCAAGAATCCCCAAGTGCAAGCGCCGCTTTGGGGAACTGGGAGGCAAACCCTGCCGCATTGCTGCTACCCTCGTCGAAATGAACCTCAAAAATGGCGACCACGCCCCTGCGATGTCGGCGCGCCCTTCAATGTCGATAGACGCCCCTCCAATGTCGGGGCCAAGGCAAAAGTGGTCTGACCGGGAACGACTCGGAAGTTCGATGATGCAATGATGACCGACATTGGAGGGGCGGCGCATACAAGTACCTGGCAGTCACCGCTACTCTGTCCAGCATCTCCCCACAAACAGTTCAGCCACGCAAGACATTTTTGTGGTTTATTTTGACAAGGGTTGTAGCAAACGCCAATTTGAACCTACATACACTGCTGTGACTGTGCAGTCTAAGACTCGACACCGCACTTGCCTTGAGCAAGTGATGGGACCCCCTGAAACCCCATACACTCGTGACCCTGTGACTGTTCAAGAGGATACGCAATCCTCAAAGTCCCAGATTCCTCACGGAATTCCCCATGGCGCTACCGGGCCCGAAAACCATCCAACAGCTCGAGCGCTTCGATCACCCGCGAGTGCGCCAAGCAAGGCGCCCAGGACGTCTCCCGCCCAGGGGCCACCCCTCAGACCCCAGGCGCGGGGCAGGGATGTGGGAGGAGGAGGAGGAGGAGGAGGAGGAGGAGAAGGAGGAGGGGAAGGGGGAGGAGGAGGAGGAGGAGGAGGAGGAGGAGGAGGAGGAGGAGGAGGAGGACGAGGAACGTCAGGGGTGGAGAGACGTCAGCCCAGGAATCGGGGATGCATCGCCGACGCATTGGCGAGGGGCATCCACGATTTTTGTGACCTCCTTGGCCCCCCGAAGGGAGCGGGTCCTTGGGGACAGGGCCCCCGGTGATAGTCGTTCGCCACTCTCGGGCCCCGGGGCCCCTGGGCCGACAGAGGACGACCCAAGATGACGAGCTGGTGCGTGGGAAAGCCCCGGGGTCCAGGGCGCCTTCCTGAGGGTCCACGTTGGTCAACGCTAGGAGGGAACCTCGACCTGGAAGCGGCGAGCCTTCGGCGCTGAAGGCACCCGATGGTGCATCCGCACACTCCTGGCCTGGGGCTGGCTATGGGGCCCCTACCGCGACGAATGGGTCATTGGGGGTTGTCGCACCTCCCCCATGAGCCCGCCTCCCCTGGACAGGACACTGCCCCGTGGTTCTCGGGCCATGACTCGGCTCCCCGGCGGCCCTGTCGGGACGATCCTTGCACCCCCCGAACGGCCCGGAACGCTCTCGGCGAGGCGCAGCTGCTGGAGAGCCTCCAGAGGCCGGAAGACCGCCGAGAACCGACCCAAACGCGCGAAAACCTTGAGCCGCGAAGCCTGTCCCCCCCCAGCGGCGATGAATGGGCGATTGGGGGTCGATGCGTTGCTCGCATGAGCCTATCCCCCCTAACGTTGCCCCTGACTGCAGCCGGCACCTCCCTGCACGGTGGTGGACACGGACCGATGTTTCGGCCAGCGCCCACACATCGATTGTCGGCCACGGGCACCTGGGGATTCCACAGAATGGCAATCCAAAGGATCGAACAACTTCACTTTCGACGTTGGACCTCTTTCTTGGACATCCCAAATGCAAGAACATACGAGACGTCGTATGAGTATATAGTCTTCTATGCCGAGGAAATATGTAGTATGAATGTATAAATCCGCCGGCCCCCTTGTGGGGCCACCAGGCTGCAGGGCGAAGGTTCGCAGTTTCCTGTACCAGATGCAGCTTCCAGTTTCCACTGTTACAGTTCTGCTTCTTGCTGCTTACTGTTCCTTGTTGACTTCTTGCTGCTTACTGTTCCTTGTTGATGGACCGCGCGAGGGGGGGAGGCCCAAAACGGATATTTCTACCACGCCCAAATCGTATGCTCTGAATTCCTGGGGTGGGTAAAAATTGACACCCCTCAGGCAGATCGGCGGGGTCAGGGTCCAAAAAACATATGGGACTTGTCGAAATTCTGAAATTCGGTGGCACCGCTCACACTGATCGGCGAGGTCAGGGTCCAAAAACAGATGGGGATTTGCCACATTTCTGAAATCCAGTGGCACCCCTCATGCAGATCGGCGGGGTCAGGGTCTAAAAACACATGGGGATTTGCCACATTTCTTAAATTCGGTGGCACCCCTCACGCAGATCGGCGGGGTCAGGGTCCAAAAACATAGGGGATTTGCCACATCATTCGCTAGCACCCCTCACGCATATCGTCGGGATCAGGGTCGGCGGGATCAGGGTCCAAAACCACATGGGGATTTGCCACATTTCTGAAATTCGGTGGCACCCCTCACGCAGATCGGCGGGGTCAGGGTCTAAAAACACAGGGGATTTGCCACATGTCTGAAATTCGGTGGCACCCCTCACGCAGATCGGCGGGGTCAGGGTCCAAAAACACATGGGATTTGCCACATTTCTAAAATTCATACAACAGCGAGTATAACAATAGACTCGCAATCTCCATTCGTCTTGCCAATTACCCATCGTCTTCGCACGAAGTTCCGATGCTGCTTCACGATGAAGCCAAAGCCTCATGACTTCGATCTTCCATGGCCCATTCTCCGAGAGAGGGGGCCGGCGGCAGGGGGCGAAGCCCTTACGGTTATATATATATATATATATATATATATATATGTATGGTCCAGGGCTGGGGCCCCCCCCTCCCCCACAATGCTGATGCCATTGGGACCCTCCCCCGCGCGATGGTCCCCCCCGCCCCCTCCTGTGGGCGTGGCGTGGTGCTGCGCTGCGGTGCCCCCCTCCCCCCCCCTGTGGATGTGATGTGGTGCTGTGGTGGTTCAGAGGTGGGCGTGGCGTGGTGCTGCGCTGCGGTGCCCCCCTCCCCCCCCCCTGTGGATGTGGTTTGGTGCTGTGGTTCAGAGGTCGTCGTCGTCGTCGTCGTCGTCCTCGTCGTAGTCGTCGTCGTCGGCGTCGTCGTCGTCGTCATCGTCGTCGTCGCCGTCGTCATCGTCGTCATCGTCGTCATCGTCGTCGTCGCCGCCGCCGGCGTCGTCGCCGCCGCAGCTGTCGTCGTCGTCGTGGTCGTCGTCGTCGTCGTCGTCGTCGCCATCGTCGTAGTCGTCGCCGTCTTCGTCTTCGTCGTCGTCGTCGTCGTCGTCGTCCTCTGGGACCATACCATCTGGGAGGGGGGGCCCGAGAAATCCTGGGACCATACCATCTGGGGGGGGGGCCCGTGGGCCCAGAGCCCAGGACCATATATATATATATATATATATATATATATATATAGATATACATATGTATATATATATATATATGTATGTATGAATCAGGGTTGCCCCCACCCCTCCCACCAATGCATATGGGATCGAGCTCCCCCCTCCGCTGGATGGGTACGCCTGTGAGCGTCGCAAAGGCCTCGCGAATGGGATCGCTCCCACTCCGCCCCCTGTGGTCGTGGCCCTGTGAGCGTGGCGTGGTGGAGGGTGTCGGTGCACCCCCCCTTCCCTCCCCCTGTGGGTGTGGGGTGATTCGTCGTCGTCGTCGGCGTCGGCGTCGGCGGCGGCATCGGCGTCAGCGTCGTCGCCTGTGTCGTCTGTGTCGTCTGTGTCGTCGTCGCAGTCTGTGTCGTCTGTGTCGTCTGTGTCGTCTGTGTGGTCGTCGTCGTCGTCGTCGTCGTCGTCGTCGTCGTCGTCGTCGTCGTGGTCGTCGGCGGCGGCGTCGGCGTCGGCGGCAGCGTCGGCGTCGGCGTCAGCGTCGGCGTCGGCGTCGGCGTCGGCGTCGGCGTGGCGTCGGCGGCGGCGGCGGCGTCGTCGTCGGCGTTGTCGTCGTCGGCGTCGTCGTCGGCGGCGACGTCGGCGTCGCGTCGGCGGCATCGGCGGCGGCGGCATCGGCGTCGGCGGCGGCGGCGGCGGCGGCGGCGTCGGCGTCGGCGTCGGCGTCGGTGTCGTCGCGGCGGCGGCGCGTTCGTCGGCGGTCGGCGGCGTCGCGGCGTCGGCGTCGTCGTCGTCGGCGGCGTCGGCGTCGTCGGCGTCGGCGTCGTCGTCGGCGTCGGCGG